TTTATTATTTTGCACTTTACATTTACGTTCATGACCCAATTTGAGTTAATTTTGGTAAAATATGTGTGGTCTCTTTCTATGTTTTTCTTTTTGTTTTGCATATGGACACACAATTTCTATAGAACCATTTGTTGCAAAGACTATTATTTCCCATTGAATTGCCTTTAGTCAAAGATCACTTGACAATACATGTATGAGTATATTTCTGGGCTCTATTTCCCCCCATTGTTGTGTGTGTCTATTAACCCAATACCACACTGTCCTGATCACTGTAGCCTTAGAGCAAATCTTGAAATCAATTAGTTCTCAAATATTTTTCTTCTTTGGTATTATATTAGCTATTCTAGGCCCTTTGAATTCCATAAAAACTCTAGATTGTGAGTATTCACTAAACAACTTGCTGGGATTTTGATTGGTATTGCATTGAATGTATAGATTAGGTTGGGAAGAACTGATATTTTAATAATAGTTAGTCTTCCAGTCAATGAACATGGGATATCATTTCTCTCCAATTACTTATACCTTTTTTTATGCATTCCACTATGGTTTTATAGTTTTCATATATAAATCTTGTTTATAATTTAGATTATATAACTAAGGCAGATTTATATCTAAGTATCTAATTTCCCTAGATGACATTGTAAGTGGCATTATTTTTAAATTTTAAATTCCAATTGCTCATTACTGGTAAAGCAATTGATTCTTACCCTTTTACCCTAGGAAATTACTGTATTCACTATTAGTTACATGAGTTTTTGTTATTGATGATTCTTTGGGATTTTTCACATAGGTAATCACTAATAAGGACAGTTTTATTTCTTCTTTTCTAATCATACATTAATCAGCCATTGTTGTCTTACTGCACTGGCAAGTACTTCCAGTACAATGTGGAATAGGTGTAGTGAGGGAGGATATCCTTTTCTTGCTTACCATTTTAGGGAAAAAGTGTTCAGTTTCTCATCTTTTTGTATGATGTTTGAACATTGAGTCAGTTTTGCACAATTGGAATAAGTCTCACGTGGTCTTAGTGTCTGATTATTTTTACACACTGTAGGATTCAATCTGGTAATATTTTGTTGGAAAATTTTACATCTGTGTTTATGAGAGATTTTGTTTTCTTTTGTTGTAATGTGTTTATCTGATTTAGGTATTGGCATAGTTATGGCCTCATAAAATGCATTAGAAAGATTTCCCTCTTATTGTATTTCCTGGAGGAGATTGTAGAGAATTTGTATCACTCTTCCTTAAATGTTGGGTAAAACTTACCAACAAAACCATCCAGGACTGGGTGCTTTCTCTTTTGGAAGGTTAGTGTATTTTTGCCAATATATCTCCCAAGGCAAAAGGAATAAAGGAAAAAATAAACAAATGGGACTACATCAAATTAAAAAGCATCTCTACTCCTAAAGAAACTGTCATCGAGATGAAAAGAGAACAGACTGCATGGGAGAACATATAGGTCAATGACACATGGGACAAGGGTTTAATCTCTAAAATATATAAAGAACTCATATGACTCAACATCAAGAAGATAAACAATCCAATTAAAAAATGGGTCTGAACAGACATTTCTCCACGGAGGACATACAGAGGGTCCATAGATACATGAAGAGATGCTCAACATCACTAATCAGAGAGATGCAAATTCAAACCACAATGAGATATTACCTCACATCAGAATGGCCATCATTAATAAATCAACAAACAAGTGCTGGTGAGGATGAGGAGAAAAGGGAAGTCTAGTGCACTGTTGATGGGAACACAGACTGGTGCAGCCACTGTGGAAAACAGTATGGAATTTCCTCAAAAAATTAAAAATGAATCTGCCTTTTGATCCAGTGATTCTACTGCTGGGATTATACCCTCAGCATCCCAAAGCACTAATTCAAAAGAACCTATGTACCCCTATGTTCATAGCAGCCCTATTCACAGTAACCAAGTGCTGGAAATAGCCTCAGTGTCCATAAGCAGAAGAATGGATCAAAAAACTGTTGTGCATTTACACAATGGAATACCACACAGCAGAAAGGAAGAAGCAGCTCCTACTTTTTGTGACGGCATGGATGGAACTGGAGAATATCATGCTAAGTGAAATAAGCCAAGAGGTGAAAGCCAAATACCATATCATCTCACTTATAAGAGGAATCTAATGAAAAAAATAAACTAAGGAGGAAAATAAAACTAGAGGTGTGGAAACATGGAACAGGCTGACAGCTGCCAAAGGGGAGAAGAGAGGGGGGTAATGGTGGAAAGAGGAGAAGGAATTAGTCAAAGAACATGTTTGACTGACCTGTGGACACAGACAACAATGTGGGGATGGGCTGTGGGAGCAGGGGGTGGGCTGGGTGTCATGGGTTCTATGGATTCCCCTTATCTTGGTGGAGTGGGGGAAGGGTGGTAAGGGGGATAAAACGAAACACTGGAACTAATAGACAGCAGTTAATATTATCAGTGATTTTCTCCATTTTCTGCAATATTATCCACTTAGCAAACTTTATTTTGTAAGATTTAGGGTCTTTCTACAGCTCTTTTATATCAGACTACTTCCTTTCACTCCTAACTCAACAGGTTTCTATGTTCCTCTGTCTTTAAAAGCACAATTTGCTGACAATATTGAAACATAGAAAGGTGAAAACACTACAAAAAACAAATAGTTTATGTTGTTGAATCTGTCTGGGCTGTAAAGCATTTAATTTTTTGCTATTTTATATAAAGTCATTTTTTATTATGATCATATCATTTCCCTTGGTTTTTGTAGATAACTATGTCTTACTTATAGTCAGTCCACAACAAAGAACTCTGTTCTCAAAAGTTTTGCAGATACTGTGGATGCTTATATTTGATTTTGTTCTGTCATGATGTCTTGGTTAGATGGCTGTAACTCCAGGTGAACAGACATGCAGGACTCCTTCCATTTGCACAGACTGGGTAGGCTTCGGTACTTCAAAACAACATGTGAATGGAATACTGCACTGTTAGTCTCCAGACTGGGTGATAAGGCTCCAGAGTGGGTAAGTTCTAGGGCTCTAGTTCTTAGGTTATGTTTGGATATGTTATCAATGCTAATAAGCATACTACTCTCCCAGGCAGAGTGTGGAGATGTGCGTGCCATTCTTGACACTTTTTTCAACACTTGTCTAGGATTTTCTTATATGTGACAGGCGCCCCCTAGTGAATAGCGGGACTTTCATTGACTTCCACTATAAAAGAACCTGTTTAAAAATGTTTGTATTTATTAAACAAGACGCTGAAGTTTTCTGTGTGTGCATGAGGGTGAGGGTGGGATCTGTTTTTCATTAAAAAACATTCAGGATTTCACAAAATAGAAGTAGTAATCAGTTTACTACATAAAGTTCAAACTAATATGAACTTTGCTAGATCATCAAAGTACATAAATACATCATTGATCTTCACCATCTCTCCAAATGTGAAGACTTGCGTGGATTTTTTATAAGGCTACTAGAATCTGATACACATAACTTGGGGACTGAGACTTGAGAAACCACAATTTCTGTCCAAAAACTTTTAATCTGGTAAATCTATTTGATAAATTATATTCTATTTGGTCTATTCAAGATTAGAATATATAATGAAAACAGCGGTATCTTAAATGATAAGATAAATCAGTTACTTTTAATTATGTCTTCCCTCCCACTTTAAAGCTCTTGCCACTTCTAACAGTTCTCAAAAGTGTGTTATAATTTTGATATCATCGTAAATATTAATTATTACTAATAGCACTGAATTAGGTCCTCAGTATAAAACCAAAAATAATTCTTACCCTCTAAGATGGTTCCAATACACAATAAAGTCCAATAATAACTAACCAGGTCAACTGTAAAGTAAATCAAATAAACATGAAAGAAAATATTAACATTACTCTAACAGTGTCAGAAAAACAAAAGCAATCACACTTGACTCAATGGACTTTAAATGGAGCATCCTAAACTAACAATTAGAGAAAAGGTTAAACAAAAAGTAGGTGACATGTTTCAATAACAAGTAGGTGAAAAGATTATTGGACTGTTCTCAAAGATCTTGTTTGATGTCAGAAACTATCAAATTATTAATTTCATGTGGTGTATTTTTGCTACTTTTCAAGGGTAGATTACCCTGTTGCCTTCTATCTTATTATCTAAACAGATTTTTTTAAATTACTTTTTCCTTGTTTGCTTAGATTGTCCTTTTAGATTCACCTCATTTTCTACAGGTCCAAACTGACCTCTCTAATGATAAGGCAGGCCCCTTTTGGTTCTCCCTTTTCTCTGAACCAGTAATGGCCTAATTTAGCACAATTCCATCTCTGATTATTCCATCTATATTAAAAGGCTCTACAGAACACGTGCAATAATTCATTCAAATTCCAGTTGACCCTTGAAAACAGGGCGGGGATGGTGCGTAGGGGCACCGACCCTTAGCAGAACATTCACATATTAACTCAAGTAGTCCATCCACGAAGGCGGATTCTGCACTGTATTCATTAATTTGTAAATGGGTAGACCCCTAAGTCCATTCTCCATCACTGCAGCTTCACGAATTTAGAGGGATCACTTGTGCATTTCCCTTGTTCTGGTGGCAAGCAAGTGCAGACAGGGGTGAAGGAAAGAGAACCCAAGAAAAGTCGAAGTGAATGACAGGTAAGGACGAACGCACCTCGTTCACCTCATCCTTCAGCACAAAACGCCCATTCTTCCCTGTCTAGTTTCCTAAGACGTGTCCGGGGCGGATACAAGGTCACCCGTGGGACGGCAGGTACTCCTCCGCTGGGCCCGATGCTGGGGCCGGAGGCGGGGAAGAAGCCCTAAGCCTTGCGGGGAAGGTGGCGACCTGGGTAGGGGCCGGGCACCAAGCGCAGTGGCGGATCGGCGCGCGCCCGCGCCGGCCCGGCTGCCCCCGCCCCCCGCCGCAGCATCCCTTCGCAAGAATCCGCGCGCGCGGGCGGGAGGAGGGGCGCGCGGGCCCCTCCGCCCCACGCGCGCCCACGTGACGCCAGCCGAGGAGATTGGAGCGGCGACAACAGGAGGCGGCAGACGGGTACAGCGCGCTCTGCGCTCACGACGGGAGCTCCCCTTCTTCCTGAAGCCAGGACCGTACCTTCTCCTCCGCCGGGCCGGTAGCCACGGCCGCTGCTGCTGCCCCCCGCCGCATCCCCGCCGCCGCATCCCCGCCGCCACATCCGCGGCGCCCGCAGCAGGAGGAGAAGACGCGCCGGGCCGCCGCCGCTGGAGGGAATCCCAGCTGACACTCGCTCCCTCCTTCGGCCGTTGAGTCTGCCCTCCCACGGGGTCTCCGCTTTCTCCTCCCCGCCGCCAGCTCCTGCTCTCCGCCGCGATGGGGCTCCTGGACTCCGAGCAGGGCAGTGTCCTGAATGTGGTGTCCACGGCGCTCAACGACACGATGGAGTTCTACCGCTGGACTTGGTCCATCACAGGTAAAGCCGCTGTCGTCCCGGTCCTGTCCCGGCCGGGCGGGCCACACCGGCCCCCCGCGGCTGTTGGGAGGCTGTGGATCCGGAGGTGCGGGGGCGCGGGGCTCTGGTTAATCTGCTCCGAACGTTACGGCCTCCTCGCCCCACACGCCCGCCCGGTTTTCCTCTGAGCTTCCACCATCTCTCATCGGTTTCTCAGATGCAGGAGCTGACATAGCAGGTGGAGTCTGAGCTGCTGAGAGCTCGTCGTAGGAACCTCCCTACGCTATGTTCCCACATCTCCAGATCTCATATGACAGTTCTAAATTATGCACAGGATTGGTTCTAACATTTACTAATATTGCGTGTGGACAGATGGCTCGGGGCGGTGAACTCCAGTGGTGGCTGTCTTTCTTGCTTCTGCGGCCTCCTGGTTGCTTTGACACAACAGGCTAACCTGCTGATATTTTTGTCTAGCTCATATAACATAATTTGGAAATAAAAGCAAAAAGCTGTTGGTTGGTTCCTTGAGCCTTGAAGACTGTTAGTTTGTGAGGCTCTTCAACAGCAGTTATGTTTGAACTGATTGTCTGTAATGGCTTGGCGCAGTGCAGTGCAGTCGGGGGAGGGGGAGGCTAAAACACCGGGAAAGAAAGGTCTTTATGAAAGGGGTCTCTACAGCAGCACCTAGAGGTTGTCCTAGAAGCCTACATACATGCCCTGTTAAACCAGCAAACTTTTTCCTGTGGTTGTCAGAGTTTATTCGACAGTATTGTCCGATGTATGACTTACGTATGGTCCCTTCTGCCTTTCTAGCAGAAAGCTATTGTGATGTTATTTTCACATTTATTTTATCCAGTTGTTTCAGTTGCTTTTGGCTTTAGGGCACTTAAAAGTTTTGAAATAAAGATTAAGTTAGCAGGATTTTAGAAATGATCTTTTGATTTAAATAGTTTTAGTCCTTGCAGTATTGCCCTGCATCCCAGCAGGGGAGGAAATTCACCTTGCACGTTGTGACTCTGCCTTTCTAGAAATTATAACATATTCCTGTAGTTTTTGTATTCGTTAGAGGAAATGGGATAGTAGTTACAGCATGAATACTGTACAATGCTGTGGAGAAAATGTGTTGCTATAATTATTTCTGGGTGAGACAAATGATTCTTTGACATTGATGTGGCTTTAACTTCTTTTTAAAATTGTGTTCTTTTTCATACATTCTTAAGTTTGACACAGAGAAGTGAGCTATTTAATTAGCCATTGCAATAGAAAATGGTTAGAAGAGATTTTAATGGAGTTAAAACTGTGTATTGTTTACACTGAAGTTATGCTGTACCTGTATAACCTGGGAAATGCATATACATATACATATTATATATATATATATATTTATATATATATATATTTCCCTTCATCTCTGAAGTGATTTTGGTTATTTAAACATTGCATCAGGGTTTCCCATTACACAATTGTGCAGAGCCAAACATCAGAGAAGCTCTTTGGCAGGTAATTGCACTTTGCATACTTTAGAGTTCACACATCGTCAAGGTCCTCCAATTTCCATATAGCCAGAGCCACACCCAGGAGTTCTCATTCCCGTCTGTCATTTTCTTCCCACCTCTTGAGTTTCAGAGAGAATTGAGAGCAAAGATAGAATATACCTTTGCATGGTCGTTAATTTCTTCCTAATGATGTTTGTGTAAAAACATCATGAATGAAATAGGGAAATTTTGTAGTTTCCTTATGTGAAAGCTGGCTGCTTGCATATGAAGACATAAAATAATATTGTTGCTGAGAAGTCAGAGTAGCCACTGGGACCAAGTGATCTCCCAGTAGCAGGTCACAGGAAAGGTATTCACCCATTCCCTTGGCTATCCACTTACGAAACCTGAGACTGCTTCCTTGTTTTTGTAATCAGCTACCCAGTGTAGATAGATGGTATTTCTTAACTACCTTAGAGGCTTAGTGGGATGTAGCCTGTTCTGCCTTGCTGCTGTGAAGGAGTAGTTTTCAGATTCAGGCAGAAGAGACAGGAAGCCTATGGTGTTCCATTTCCTTTGACTGCCTCATCTCCCTTCCGTGCTCTCCAGATATCTTTTCTGACTCATTAACACTGATCCAATTCCAAGAGGATATACTCTCACTGTAATTTCATGAAAAGCTGGGTGAATGAGTTTAAAGCATATTAGATGAGGCTGGAGAAAAAGTCGATGAGTCAGAAGTTTGGGAAGGGGGGCCAGTAAAAATGGGTGGAGAGAAAGATGGTCTTGAGAAATAGTGGTGACTGTTGTGAAAGGACCCAGATTATTCAGGGAGAGAAGAAGCAAGTGAGCCCTGTGCCTTTGAACTTTCATCCCCAGAACTGGTTATATGCTTCTGTCTTTCTGTTCTATTACTTTACTACGTCTTTTTCGCCACTGATGTTTCTACCTACGTGTAAATAACACGTATCTACTTGGTACTGTTATAATAGGAATAATGAAGATCTGTAGAATATATTTGATGATCCAAGAGATTTTTGTCTTAGGAGAAACAGTTTATGCAAAAATACTATTTTGAGCTATTTTATCAAATGGTGCTATTTAATAAAACATGTCCAAAGCAATGTATAAAAACTAGGCTTTTCAACAGCACATATTTAGCAAATACAGCATGTAGTCCATAGTGTATAACACAGAAAATGTCACTTTTACTGTATCATTGACACTTTGTACATTGAATTGAAACTTTGGAAGAGTTGTACTTTTAAAAGAACAAAACATTTTTATTTCCATATACTATTATCTTTTTAAATATTTTAAACAAGTAAATTAATTTTGGTTTATATTATATAAGAAAGTATAGAGTGATGTGGGACTTTGTACCAGTTGGTGGTATCAGAGTAGGTAGTTACTCTGATGTCATTGTGTTTATTTTTTCTCTTCTTTTACTCATGAGTATATTAAAATTATTAGGACTGGTATCCTAGACTCAAGGTAAATATGTAATCAAGAGATGTAAACTAACAAACCTAAATATTCCCCAATCTGTAACAACCTAAATTATCTACATCATCTATTGTTCATTCATTATTTTAATAAATGCTTATTAGTAACCTTTTGTGTAATTTGACATTTGGCATAAAAACATCTGGAGAGTTAATAACCAGCCTTCCCACAATAAGACCAAATGTCTCTTGAATCACTGTATTTCTTTTTGAATCCCTGTTTTTAAACAGCCATTGTTCATGGTGTACGTATGCACATGCATGTATATGTGTATATGTGTGTGTGTGTGTATGTATGTGTGGGGGTTAGCATTACTCTCCGTTTGCAGATATAGTATCCAACATTTTGATGAAAAATTTGTGTCTACTTGGGAGTTTAAGTTAGAGTATGAAAGGCCAGCCTTGGCGGGTCCTTACAGTCACTTTGGAAGGGGCCGAAGGGAGAGGGAGCATGGCAGAGGAGAAGGAATGGTGGCGAAGTTCGGAGACTAGGCTTAGGTAATCATTCATTCTGTCTACATGACTTGCCAAGTGCAGGCACAGTACTGGGCTCTGGGCAGAGAATGGGAACACTCGATCATTAATTGTTCTCCTGCAGCTTACAAGCCTAGAGGGTCAACGCCATGGTCTGAGGTCCCCGTGACCTGTCAGCCAGGCCTAGCTAGGCCTAGGGGAGGTAAGAAAAGTCCCTGCTCTTCTCATCTCTCCTTCTACCTCTACTACAGTCTTAGTTGTGACAAGCATATTCAAGCTATTTTAGAATATGATCAATCATGTGAAGCTTCTGTAGATATTTGGGAGAGTACTTGGAAATTGGAGGTGAGCTTAAGGGGCCAGTGAGTCATCGGGTTTGCTGAAACTGGGGGATTGTGGGAGGAGACCTTTATTCAACTCGAATAAGCTGGGCTAAGAGCAGCAGGTCTGTTCCAGAGATTGCTAGGCCCCAAAGAAGCATGTGTCTTAAACATTGTGCAATATATTTACATTCATTTTATTTTTGTTTATCACAGTTAATGTACACATTTTCATTTGTTACTGTCAAAAGTAGGTTTTTGTTTTGGGTTTAGATTAGTTTGGGAACCCAGTCACCATTTTCAGTGTTTCTCCTAGAAAAGGCATTGCACGGTCTCAGCAGCTAATTAAGGACAAATAATTGTAGTATTGCCAGTTCCTAACATGGGATCTCCCTTGGTCAGTGTTTTCTATGAGGTTCTATAATTGTTCTTCTCTAATAACCAACCTGAAGCTTTTAAGAGGTCCATACCATTTTAGAGTTTTCTGGGTTTTTTTCTTTGTTAGTTTGGTTAGTTGGTTCTTGTTTTTTTTCTTCACCAGAGCCTGGTTTAGGTGGCAAAGTCCTGGACTTCAAAGGCTGATGCTCTTGTCAGTTTTCCCATCAGCATGTAGTAGAAATCTCATCACAGATGGAATTGTAAGAGAGTAAAACAATGCCGATTCTAAATCTGGTGTCAGGACACAATTTTATACAGTTAGTTGCTTTGGCTGAGAGAGAAGGGTTTTAAGAATTACACAGATAATTATCAGACAATGCTCCTGTGATCTTAAGAGCCATGAAGAAGTTAGTCATTCTTTTAAAATTCAATTTGTTTTATTTTCTCTCAAGTCATATGATATTGTCATCAGTGAATAATTTATTATTATTAACGTATTATTTTTTATTTGAATCATGTATTACTTTGAGTCACTTATTTTGAATTAAACATATATGAGCACACAGGGAATAGTTGTGTAACAGAATCTGTCTTTTCTCGTTTCGGATGGCTCTTTTTTTCCCTTTTCATTCTCAGGACATTTCTCCTTAACAAATCAAGGTGCTATTGTTTTATTTTTCCTTGGAAGGAGAATGTATTAGAATATATCTTTAAAAATCATGTGGTTCTGTTTTGTTCACTAGTTGATTTTGTTCATTAGCTTCCTCTTATAGATGAGATCCTATGGTATTTGTCCTTCACCTACTGGACATGGGATGGGTGGAGGAGGGCAAAGGGGGAAAAATTGGAACAATTGTAATAGAATAACA